CCTGGTCTGTGGATCACTGACTCAATGAAGAGTCAGGGTCTCTTAAGACATTCCTAATTTGTTAAAGGTCTGTAGATCCCAAGGAGAAGGTGATGTGGAATCTCTCTCTAGCTGTACTTGGGCAAAATACAACAAAGGCATAAAACACATGTTTTAGGAATTTTTATCAGATGTTGCACTTGTTGTCCCAGAGAGTTTGGCATTGTGTATTTGGTGAATTTCAATAGAAGCTGATGGTTATTCATTGTTGAAAATCAACAAACAGATGTCTAAAAGGGAAAGATGCCAAAAAGTCTCTGCTCTGTATATATAGCATGATAGTTTTAAAAAGGAAAAGCTGATGAATGTCTTTATTAATATTTATACATTTTTAATAGCACCTTAGTTTTGATGCAAATGAATACCTTGAGGGACAACTGGCAAATGTAACTTCGATCAGCCAGTGGAGTCAGTTCCCTTGTTGTAAAGCAATAGGGTGCTTTCTTAGTAAAATTAAATTTTCATAAACTTTTAAGAGTCTTCTTTGGCAGATTTCTTTAAGCCAACTATAATGTAATTTGGCATTGTAAATACAGAGTCAATGGTGTTCTCTGCTTCAGTGTTAGTACTCAGCTGGTCTCGCATTATGCCACATTGCATGCAGGCATATGGGTAGTGTTGAAATGTGCCTTCATCTGCAGAGCTAGTACCTCTGAATGAATTTTAAAATGTAGGGAAGGTACTTGAATTCAGCAGTATGAAATATAACTAATAATTTTACTATATAGTAACTAACAATGTGATTTTCCTATTTTCTATAGTTTGCATAGCAGCTTAATTACATAAGGCAGCGAGATGCCCATCCTGGTGCATATTCTGCTGTTTTTCCAGAATTAGTCTTGGTTTAAATGCTTGTTTGGTTTGCTTTTCCTGAATAACCCTCATGTTGACAATCACATTGACTTAAGCAGCCTTAAGCCTTATAAAAGTCAGCATTTAATTTTTGACAAATGATTCAGAGTGCTGAGAATTAGAAAACCTTTACTTTTTAATACATCCAGGCTAAACACAGCACTCTCAAGTCATTTTAAACCTGATGCAATTGTACTGCTGTAGGGTCATGTGTCTCCTTTGACTGCAGGAGAGTGCTGTTGCCTCTTTCCTACTCCAGACACCAAGCATAGCAAGTCAAGCTGCTGGCTAGCTGCTTCTCACATAGGCTTCTTAAAAATAGGAAAAAGGCAAGAGTACAAAACTAAACGTGAATGGTAAGCGTGGCAGAAAAGCATGAAGGAAAGAGCTAAAAGGAGTCTCTTCTTTCCCATGTCTTTACAAACCTGGAAAAGCACACACTTACGTAAGCTGTGCTAGTCTCACTTTTCTCTGGCAGAAATAAAGTGCTGATCAGTAGCTCGTGTGCCCAAACTAGTGGGAGAGGTATGGAAGATGTTGAACTTGTGCAACCAATTTTTAGGCAAGTAAGCAGGGCCAGAGTTCTCAAATAGAGTATTTATAACTTTTTCTTTTTCTCTCTCCTTTCCCTGCCTGACTCCTCCAGCTGTCTGTGGACATGGCTGCAAGTACGGCGAGTGCACAGGACCAAACAAATGCAAATGTTTCCCTGGATTTACAGGGAAAACCTGTAATCAAGGTTTGTACACATTGGGATATTTATTACTCCAGAAAACAGACTGTTGTTGTTCGGTCTCCTTATCTTGTACTATGGATTGTGTCATCTTCCAAAATAGTAAAACATATGTTTTACACAAATGTCCTGGTTTTTAGCTGGGATAGAACTAGGTTTCTTTTCAGTAGCTAGAATAGTGCTGTGTTTTGGTTTCAGCCTGGGGTTTGTTACAAGAAGAACATTGATAAAATACCAGTGTTTTCAGTTGTTGCTGGAAGGTGAAGGACTCGGTGTTTTGCTAGTCTGCAATGAATATTTAAATTAATAAGCTAGATTGGCATTTGGATATGCCAATGCAATATTCCATATCATATAACATCATGTTCAGTATATTAATGAGGGTCTCTCTCTCTGGCTCTCACTTGGGCTCTCGCTCTTCTGGGATTGTGGTTGTGGTTTGGGGATTGTCACTCCTGTGGGATCGTTATCCAAGAATGGGCCAGGCTTTGTTGGCAGGTGATAGGCAATTCCACTGTGTATCACTCATTTGCATATTTTATTACCACTATTATTATAATTATTATTTAAATATCATTATTGTTTTAAGTTTTATTTTATTTCAGTTATTAAATTGTTCTTATCTCAACCTATGAGTCTCCTTACCCCTCCAGTTCTCTCCCCTGTCCCCTGGGGGTGGGAGGGAGGGAGTGAGCAGCTGTATTTGGCTCCCAGCCAAGTGAAACCACCACTATAAAGAACATAAAATATATTCTTGTTTACTTAAAAGAGCTTAGAGTTTAAGGCTCTTGCATCTCTAGCATCCCAGGCAAGCTCTAAGCCTCCTTAAGCGCACAGAAGGTTGAATCTGTATCATGTATCTCCTGCAGGCAGATGACAAGGGCAAACTGTCATATTTATTGTGAGAAAATTAAGGCATGGAACGATTATATAGGAAATTATTAGAAGAGCTGGAATTCAAATCCAGAACCCATGTTAATTTCTTAACTCAAAACTCATGTTACTTTCTTAACTAACCTCATCAGAAAGACATGCAGTTATATGCTAGACGTGTAATTTCTCAAGCTGCCTGGGCCAGTGCCATCTGTTTGCATATGCTGATTGGTATTTTTGAGAACACAGAATTGGGAGTCTTTAGAATTGCATATTTAGAAACTTTGAATGCACCCCTTTCTCTCCATAAACTTGCAATTAGACATAGAAATATTTTGGCTAACACATTGGTGAGAACTCAACTTTTTTTTCCTGTTCTAATATATGAGACCCCTGTGTTGGATCAGATTAAAAGAGCAGGTCACTGTGCATGGAGTGAGGCCATCCTACTGCATTGCAGCTGGGTGAACTGCAGGTGCTGTGAGGGAAGCATGACATCAAGGCCATGTGAATAGATGAGTCTATCCTTGCTACCTTCCTAAGCACCTGCAGTCTTTGCTTGAAAATGTTGCATTGACAAGCTAAAACCACGTTTTTTACACAGTATCTTTCAAACAATATGGTATAAAGCAATACTGTAAAGCATTTTGGAAAACTCCATCTTTTGCACTTTTGGTGTTGCTCACAGGGAAAGAAGTCAATTCCTCAGTACCACTAGAGAGGAAAGTGAAACAACAGCCATGGTTGTGTGTAATAGATATGTAGATATCACTTAAAACTTCATCCTCTAAACCCAGTTTAACATCAAAAATTATTTGTCATCTTAAATGTTACCAAAAGGAAACAGAGAAGCCCCCAGCTTTTAGGTGTTTTGTGTGTAGTAACTCCAGCTGGATTTGATATGCCCTCCATACACAAGCAGATCAGTTCTGTGCACTTGCAGTAGATTCAAAGTCTGAGGCTTGATGGAAGCACCACACAGACCTACATGTGCAAATTGCCTGTTAGCTCCCTGCGCTGTTTCACCTTCCGAAGCTTGGCCAGGAGTTTTTTAGTGAAGTGATGGCTGGCACGGGCCAGAAATGTCCTGGAGCTATTTCAATAGTATAGCCATATAGGTGGTCATGTTTCAGCAGCCAGGAATGCTCAGAGCCACTTTCAGTTTACTAGCAGATATAGCCTTGGTGGGTCCTTACAACAGAATGCCCTGCTGAGCAAGCTCAACATGAGCTAACTAAAATAACAGAGATAAGGGGGCTGTATTAGTCTGCCACCGAGTCTGAGCTAAATTAGCCTTATCTCCATAGGTTCTCTTTTAGAGCTGTGTATGCTATCTGTGTATTACTGTGCATTGTGCAAGATAGGTGCAGCTGAGCACTTTTGAAAATGCATGGTCTACATTTTGGGCCTCTCTAGTTTCTTTGTTAACAGGGTCTTGGTTATTTAGTGGAGCCACAGTAGCACAAAAATCCAATATGATTTGCCAGCTGATATATTGTCTTTTTTCAAACAGACTCTATGTTTAAATAACAGAATGCAACTCTCTTTTTCTTCCCTCACTGAGCTGTAACAAACACTTCTGCATATATATAGCCACAACAAAGTTTATGCTTTGAATGTTCTGAAGTTTTTCCTGTGATCTGCAGGGTGTATAGACATGAGAACAGATGCTTCTGCCATTAAAAGTGGAGCTGCACAAGCTCAGTGCTTGGAGAGTTGCATCTTTACTGAAATTACACTATTGGTCATATGTGCTGGTAAACACATGTTGAATGGGCTGTGTACACTGGTGCATTCTGTTAATGAGTTCTATCTGTTTACTAATGAGGTTTCAAAATACAAGAGGTAGAGGTGTCAGTTCACAGGAGTCACAAGTGCAGATGTTGTCCCCTTGTAGGACCAATACCATTGTCAGCACTGCTCTGCCTATACTACACAAATAGAACTCTTTAGGATTCTGGTTTTCTCCCTGTGAAGGATAGCTATTGGGAATTTGAAGTTAATTTAGATTCTGCAAAGCCTTTTAAATCCTGGGTTTTTAAAAGTATTTAGGATGCTTTTATTCTCACAATTTTGAGATTTTTGAGATTCATCCTTTTATTTTTAAAGTCTCATGATTTTTAGATACTGGATTTCATCTCTGCTACACAAGCCCTTGCCTGATAACCTTGGTACCAATGTGTAGCTCAGAAAAAAAAAAAAAAAAAATCTTTGTTTCACTTTGTCTTAAGCTGATTTGCAGTTGTTAGTCTCACTAGTCTCACGTTTTTGCATTTCTAGTACAGAGGTCAGCTGCAGGACTGTAATCTCCAGATAGAATTGATAAAATCCAGAAAAATAACTCTCAGAAAACAAAAACTGCAATTCTTTACCCACCCTTCCACTTCTTCCTAACAGGCTGTGCCAGATGTGGGCAGAGTTTGCATTAGTTTTTCAGGTGAAGTCTGTGTATGTTAGTTTTGCTAGGATTCTTTTAGCCAGATGGTCTGCTAGAATCTCATCTTGCAAAGAACTGGCTCATTTTTAATCCAGACAATTTTACTGTGGGGAATTCAATGCATTAGGCAATATATGCATGAATATATGTATATAAAACCAGCACTCACTTCATTCCAATGATTTCTGCAGATCTGAATGAATGTGGACTGAAACCACGTCCCTGTGAACACAGATGTATGAATACACATGGCAGCTACAAGTGCTATTGTCTTAGCGGGTACATGCTTATGCCAGATGGCACGTGTGCAAGTAAGTAATAGAGCTGATATGACAGGCACACCAAAATCACCTAATCGCATTTGATCCCAGCAGATTTTCTTCTTGTGATGAATGGATTTGGCTTATTCAGGGTAGGGTCTTTACCTCAGCTCTCTGGTACTGTTAGCAGCTGAAAGAGGCTTTCTGTTTGGCAGTATATGGATAAAGTAAACTAGGTCATACTTGTATTTTGGTGTTCAGAAGAATTTTTGTCCTGCTAGAAGTAAAAATCTTTGATAGAGTTACTTCAGATGAAGGACAACTAGTATAACCTTGTAATATAGTCCTTCCTGTAGTTGAATAAGGATTAATTAATCTGTCCAAGCAAAACACCAATGTAGACTACTTTTTACTGCATTGAATTTCATGCCGTTACTCCTTGCTTTACCTTTCTGTGCTCCTTGACTCATTTATTTTCTCTGAGTATTGATGTGCTTCCCACGCTTACTGACAGCTTCTTGCAAACATTTGTTCACTGAGCTAAGGCTTATCTAAACTGTATTTCTACCTATTTTCTTTGTCTTTAAGCCAGTATGTAATGGAAAGTATTCTGCTTTCTTAGCCAGCCTGATTTTTCAGACCTGAGGAAGCTTCATATTTTTCAATGACACTGTTTTATTTGTAGAAAATACTTTTTTTTCTTCATCTGGGCAGTTCCATACAGGTATTTTGGCTTTGAATTCCACAAAACCCTAGGTAACATGATGACAGCCCTTTCTGGAGTTCACTGGACTGGAGCATATGCGTCAGTTGGACAAGGAAACCAGGTGGTCTCAGCAGTGGAACAACCTGCTTGAGAGATCTGTCCTAAAGCAATGTACCTAGCTGTATGGGGTGCAGCACAATCTTTCCCATGGTTGTGACAGAAAACTATAAACTCAGAAAGGCTTTGATCTCCAAACCTTGGAGACAATCATGCACCAGGCAGGATGTCCATCTGGTGAGTTTGCTCTCAGTTTTGGATAACTGGAAAAATACCCAGCCTTGGCAAACAATCACAGGAGCACAGCGTCTGCAGCTCGAGGGCAGGCAAAAAAGCCAGAGCTCCTACTCTCTCTCTCTCTCTTATGGCAGGGAGACTGAAATTGCTGTGAAAGGTGCCTGGGGCCAGAGCTTTTCAAGGGTTTCCCTTCCCTGCATCACAGCTCAGGGTTGTGCCTCTGCATTATTAATCATAGTGGGTATCACCAGCAGACAACAGCTGCAGGGCTCTGAGTTCCCAGAGAAATGGTTATGTATTCCTTCCTTTTTTTCCAAGATAATTTGTATATCTGCTGACATCATACACCAAGCAGTTTTCAGTAAGGCTACTGTCTTATGGACAGCTGAAGATGGCAGAACTTCAATCACAAGAAACTGTCCTGTCTTGCTTCCCTTTGAGCCCTGCAGCAGCTTTGTCCCATCCATCCCTCATTCCCCCTGCTCTGAGCACATACACTTGCCACAGCCATGCATGAATCAAGGCAGAAAATTAAATCCAGGCTGTTATTAACCATTTCCACTGGATTGTTTTTAAACCATTCTTAGTTCAGAATTGGTTTCCTGATTTAAGAAACTCTGCATTTCTACCCAATGCACAATTGCAGCATCCGTTACTTGAGCCAGCACAAAACACTTAATTTCTCAGTGGTGGTAGTGGCCAGTGTCGAGTATATGTGAAAAAATTGCCTGAGCAGCTGTGAGCCCTGAAGCTTGTGTTTCACTTTGGCACACGGAAATGTTATTTCTCAGTGGAACCTCAACAAACACTGACACAGAATGAAACCAAATTTCGGGGGGGGGCGGGGAGGGGAAGGTTTCCCACAGAAGAGAAGTCTTCATTCTTCATAGCTTTGGTTAAGGAAGCAAAAACCTTTATGTTCATCCAGCTTGTGCTTCATTAACTCGAGCCATCTACCACTTTCCAGTTCCACATAACCTTTATTTTCTTAAGCAGCAACTATTACTGTGAAATGAAGTAGTAAATTATTTACTCAAGTAGAAACTGTTCTTGGTTAAGTCTTCTAGCCTCCCATTTAACTGGATGCTAACTTAAGCTTGTGCTTGGATGAAATACTAGTTATTTAACCAACTGTAGAATCTCATAATTTTATTCAGGCAAATATTTTGAGTGTATTATTGCTCATTTTGAATCAAATTCTCCATGATGTAAGACTCATTTGCAAGATGAAGTCCCCCTAGTCTGAGCAGTCAGGCTTATGTGCAGCCACACCAAGAGACCGTGGAGCTGGAGGAAGGGAATCAGAAGAATGTGGGTTTGGGCCACAGAGAACTATTGCTTAATATCGTTAGTAGTTAGTACCTAACACAATATCACTCAAATTCTGCAGGAATTCTTATACTAGATCTGGTTAGCAGTTCATCTAAGCCAATATTATGTCTAGCCAAAGCCAGGAACTGGAGCTTCAAACAAAAGAGAAGACAGACAATTGCCAGTTGGAGAACAATAGCGTTTAGTGAGTTTCTTTATTGCCATGTAGGAAGTAGATAATGTGACAATGATTTACAGTCTGTCTTTTTTTAACTCTTACCTCCTGCTACTTTGTATGTTCTCATTCATACAAAAGTAAAATGCTTTTGCAAATACAGTGAATTCTTGGCCTTGAATATTTATCACTTAGCCACAGAGTCGAAACAAACCACCTTAAGAAAAATAATTTTAGCACAGGTTAAACAGATTAATTTTAATAGCATACAGAACTAATATGTATTATATGTTCTATTCAGATCACAAATAATATGGCTGTAGCTTTATATACACCTGCATACATAATTTTATTTTCTATATACTCTTGTTATCATGCACCATTCTGAAAGTGCTCATACCTGTGACAATAAACGTGTTGTATTTTGGAACAAAATTAATATCTTTTTCTACCTAGGCAGTAGCCAGTATTCAAGTTCTTGCAGTTGGTTTCTGTCTCCAATAAACTGACAAATGTTCCAGGCTTTACACTTACAAAGAACCTATGTACAGTTCTGTTTCCCTGAGCACTACCAGAGCAAAATAGCTGGAAATACTTTCTTTTCACACACCTCCATCTGTTCCAGTAAACACTTAACAAATACTACTTCTCTCTCTGGCATCATAACACTAATGCTTCCTGGATATCTTCAGAATTTTAGAAATATCTCCCTACATACTTAATACATTTATCCTACTTTTCTAACCTCTCAAAGGTCTCTTAGACAAGATCTAGACCCCTGTATTTCTCTTTAGAGGCTAATCAAAGTCATTTCCAATGATTCACACTCCTAACCAATCTGTGGCAATCAAGACTTGTATTCTGGGTAGTGCCTCTTTAGATTCAGATATCTGTTCCAATAAAGGGCAATTTCTAAATCCTTCAGGCTAAATAGTTTTAAAAATCAAATTCTATACTAGAAGAATGTTTAATGGCAGTCAATAAAAACATTTCACTACCAAATAGCATTTTCTCTATGGTAAAACTGTCGCAATGGAAAATGTAAAAAAAAAAACAAACAATGTTTTTCTACATTGATCAGCTCTGTCTCTGAATCGAAAAGACAATAGTAAGAAGTCACAGAAATGGGAATAGAGGAAAAAGGAGGAATAAGGGCAGATAAGGAAAGAATAAAGTGAAGAAGAGAGAGTATTTAAGATCTATCTCATGGACTGCTGAATTGTTAATGTGTTAATGTATGAACAGCTTGATTAATGATGAATGGAATTTTGTTGTTCTGATTAATTTTCTGCATCCATCCAGATCTAAATTTTAAGTGTGTGATCCTAGCCTAGATTTTTGGGTTTTTTGTTATTTTAAATACTGTTTTCAGGTTCTAGGACATGTGCCATGGTGAATTGCCAATACGGATGTGAAGAAGTCAAAGGGGAGGTACAGTGTCTTTGTCCATCAGGTGGCCTTCAGCTGGGACCAAATGGAAGGACCTGCATTGGTATGGTTAGAGAGCTCTCTCTCAGCTTCTTTTCTATAGGATCCCAAAAAACTTAAGAGTCTGGGGAATGGTGACCTCCAGAGGTTACTTCCAACCTCAACCTTTCTGTGATTTTATGAGAAACCTTTTTGCAACAGGTGCTATTTGCTAAAATGCTTACCAATACGTACTGGTTGAATGGTTTCTACAGCTTAAAGAAAGTTTTAGATGTTGAGAGGGTTAACATTCAAACATTGAAAATTAATTTTAGCTCCAATGGCCAAAACAATATTATACTTAACATTTCAAATGATTAAATAAATGCATTGACCAAGAGACACTTGTTGAGTAGAAGGACAGTTACTATATTAGTTGTTCTCTTTAACACACAGCTGTAATATCATCACATATGAAGGTCATATGGCCTGGGACTACTTTATCATTTTGTAGGAGCTATCAAATAAACCCATATGGATACTTGTCTCCACTTTGAAACTATAAACACTCCAACGTGAGAATGGCATTTATTTCTTTCAAATTAAATGAGTTTGTATTTGGAAATGTCCTGCTTTAAGTAATCAGGAAGGCTCTCAAACTACTACCAGTCACAGTTAACATCTCTGAATTATTTAAGAGCTATTTAAAGGTGAACATTGTAGACATATGTATTTAAATATAATAGACAAGATGAGTGGTTCTCTCAGATCTCTTACTGAATTATTCAGGCAACTACTTTCATTCTTTTGCATTGAGTTTATTTGTATTTACCTTGCCCGCTCAAATAGATTTGGAAGAATGCTGATACATATGATAGAAGGTAAAATAGACAAAAAGGTATGTCCAGTGGTTGGAAATATCAGACTTCTTTCTGCCTGACTTGTGGTGTGTCATCAGTGCTCCATCTCTAAAATGAGAGAGACAGCATCTTCCTACTGTATAGCATAATAGATGCTTAATTGATTATAAGATACTCTAATACTCTGGTATTAGTCACAGAAACACTATAAACAGATAAATATTTGAAGATCCTTGGCTATTACTCTTAGCTTAATCCTCCTAAGAAGCTACATTATTTCTGGACCTGCAGGGCAGCACATTGACGTGTTTCAGTTTTCTTCTTCTGCATGTGCATAGGTGAAAGAAAAAAAGAACAATTATAGATCAACATTTTTAATTGAACCTAAACCTGTTGTTTCTAGGAGTACAATGAGTCTTTAGTGTTCACTGCAGACATAAGCTTCATGCTAGGATTGAGTGCAGCAGGTTTGTCGTTTAGCTTGTGACGGACCCTGGTGCTGGCAGACGCACAGGGAAATGAGAACCTGGAGAGGTCTGGGCATGCCCTGGAGGCTAGGGAACAGACATCCTCATCAGAAATGTGTAGTGATTTTGACTGTAGGTTTGTTTAAATATTTTTCTGTTGTTGTCCACTTCCCTTTGGTCACCTAAGCACTGTAAAAGAATGGTAGAAACTATAAAATGACCAACTGTGGTCTCCAGCAACACTTCACAGCAGTTCTAAGCTGTAAATGCAGCAGTGTGGCACCATGAATTACATGCAAAGTAACTTACACACACGCTAAAGTGTGATCGGGAAAGGCAAATGCCAAAGATAATCAGCACTATTTTAAATTGCACATTACAACAAAATAAATAAAATTAGTAACACTTAATTGCAATCGTTGTTGAATGATGTTCTTGGGCTCCTCCCATTCCAAGCCTCCTTTTTTTTCCAAAATATCCGTCCCTGTCACCTACCTTGCTGGGCAGACCGCTCACAGTCTAGAAGCTCTCTCCCTGCTACATCTTGGCTTAGCCCAGCAAGGGGAGGTGCAGAGATTCAGAAGAGCTGCTGCTGCTCTTGGTTTCCTGTTTCTGGGGCTTTCTTTTAAGCTATTCTCTTGACATTTCCTTTCTCAGGAAAATAATGGAATTTGTGGAGTTCCTCCTGCTCCATGACCTTAGGGCAAATCATTGTCCCCAGTGGGGAGAATCCTCACTGCCAGTTACCCTTGCTTTTACCATGCCAGGTCTCAAAATCTTTTGTAAAGTTAGTCCAAATTTTACTGCTTCATTCATATGAGCACATGCAAAAGCCACTCCCAAGTGGCTCCCAAGTGAAATTATAGGACTTATTTATTAAACAGCTTGTGATGCCGAGACCGTTTGGCTTGCACATTCCTGTGCAAATCCCAGCTAGTTCTTGCTTTCCCGGATTACTTTCTCATGGAGATGACCAGCATCCTTTCTCCTGCTCTAGACATTGATGAATGCTCCACTGGCAAAGCTCTCTGCTCTTACAACCGCAGATGTGTCAACACATTTGGAAGCTACTACTGCAAGTGCCAGCTTGGTTATGAACTGAAATATGTCAGCGACCATTATGACTGTGTAGGTAAGAGTTAGCCCATAAATTTTCCTTCTTCATTCTCTTTCATTCCCACACTGTGTGTCTTTCCTGTTATTGTTTTTCCTGTTGGCTTACTCCGGGGTTACTGCCTTAGAAATGGCTAAAAGATGTCACTAAGAATGTTCATGGTGACACTTTGAAATTTTCTCTGGGTTTTCTCTGTGGCTTTGTGAAAAACCTAATCACTGGCACTTGCAAATTAAATTGCCTCATTGTACCAAGTCAGGATGTGCAGGGCTTGTAGTACACTAGTAACAGTTGACAACAAAGAAGTGCTAGTTCTAGCACAGGTTTAGTTAGAGCCATTTTTTGTCCTCTTGGCTTTCAACCTGTGATGAACAAGCAGTCCCACAATTTTTATTTTTTTTTTGTGTCATTAATAAGGAATGTGAATCAAGTGCCTTCACAACTGTAAAAACAGTTGTTTGGATGGAATGTGCAGAACTTAAAAAAAAAATTATGAAAATAGTAGGTTTTAATTACTTTTCAGGTCTCTCTTACATGCCTAAGTTTCTCCCAAACAAAAATAAATACAGGCAAAAAGTTACCTTGACATGCCCAGGTGTAAAAACAAATGTCAAAACACCTTTTCTTCTGTTTCAGTCCATTAGATGAATGGTGGAAGAACTGCAAAGCATAAGTTACTGCAGCAGTACTGATCAAAGAGTTGGCTATATCAGGGCCTGGAAGGGTTGGAACTACTATAGGAAGTGCATTTTTTTAAAAAAAAATCATGTTTTTTGTTTATATTTGCTTGGTATTGAGAGTTAGGGGTGGGAGAGAGATTGTAAGGCAGGTTTTGGAGACTCAAGTTTGCATTTCCTATTGTATGCACAGCCTGAGAGTCCTAAAGTGTAAAAAAATACTTTTTCATAGAATATGTGTGTATGGGGGGAAAACTGTAGAGGTCTTAGTAGTCAGGATTTTATCTGCAAACCTGAATCTCACTTTCAGACAGACCATATTTTTGAGTCAGATGTCCTGCTACTTTTCTCCTATCTGACTTACTTAATGAGAGGACCTGTCAGCTGCTAAAAATGGAATAATCTGGATAAAATGCAAGTGGTGCAAAAATTTGTGCAACAACTTGGCTCCCTCATGTGGGAGAAACCAGAAACATCTTTGTGATGTAGCAGAATAGCAGAAAAGGAGAATAAAATCACTCCTGATGCCTGTACGTTTTGCTGGCAGTTGAGTGTAGGATTTCCTACTGAATTTTTCCTGATTACACGTTTTTCATACACCATCATATGTATGCTGCAGTTTTAGAGATTGAGAGAAGATCTCGTCATCTTGGCATGCTCAGGGTTACTTTCCTTTGCATTTCTTCAGGCAGGAGTGAATCAAAGAATGAGAAAGATTTGGTGAATTGTTTTTAATTGATGTCACACATTCTCTTGGTACCTTTTGCATTTTGCTAATAGAACAGTGTGTACAACCTGTAGTTTGAATCCTGTTCTCAGTCAGAAAATCACTGTGTTGACTTTTTCTTTGATGGGATGATCCACATTTTCCATGGATGAATATGTCAATAGTTGTGCAGTTGGGGCTGATGTTAGTGTGAATTGTTCTGCCTCCAATGGTCTCTGGACCATCTTGGTCTAGCAGTACTGATTACAATACCTGGAAACAGATGCCCAGCACAAGCAGGCTGTCATGAAGCTTGGGTTTCAATGCAGCTTTCAGTAAAGCATTCTTTCCCTAGATGTAAATGAATGTGTGACAAATACACACAGCTGTAACCTCCATGCAGAGTGCCTCAACACTGAAGGATCCTTCAAATGCAGATGTAAACAGGGCTACCGAGGAAATGGATTTGATTGCACTGGTGAGTACCACTGGATGTCAGGAATAGTGCTATATTGTTTTTCTCCAATAATTGATCATTATAACATATTTTCTAGGAAAGATCATGCTGAAGTGTGCTATAATACCAACCAAGGCAAACTTGCAAACTTCTCCATGAAATATTTATTGTATCCGTCATTACACAGTTGACAGGCTAACACTGTATTCTGGAAAATAGAAAAGCATAGAGATTGCTCCTAAGTTAAAATTTTCTTACGTTTCTACTTCCAGTGAAAAATGTTGACTTTTAATGAGAAAAACCTGACTGGTACTGAAAGGATTGATTTGGACACAGATGGCCTCAGCAGAGCTATGTGGAAGGTTTTTTTATGCTCAAATTCAATGTTATGAGCCAGTTTCCTTGCTAGACCACATCCCTTGGGATATGTCACTGCAGCTTGCTGCAACAGCAGGATGTAATGGGGCTTGAGACCTGACTGAATATCATAGCAAACTGATATGACACGTCTTGATACAGTTCTGTTAAAACAAAATGTACCACGGATGAAATTTTAAACAAATACATCTCTGAGCAAAAGGGTCTGGGGGTTTTTGTTTTGTTTTGTTTTGTTTTTACTTTTTAATGAGAAGCTGAACATTTCAAAGGAAAGTATCTTTTTGACCAAGTCTATGTATAAAATATTATTTCCTCAAGCAGAAACAATTCAATAGGAATGCTTGCTTAAATATAGACAAAGGAAATATTTTAGCTTGTGGAGAGGCTGTGACACATTTTTTAATGTCTAGCCCTGTAAAAAAATCAGTGCTGAAGATAGATTATTTCTATGGTCTCATTGTTTTTTAATATTAAATTCTTTATTCTCTCTCTGCATACTTCCTCATGTCATATTTCCAATTACTGAAGTCCATTAGTTGTTTAGAAGAGGCAGGAGCTGTGCATTCATAAACTTATCAGAACACACTAAATGGAAAAGAGATTTAATGCAAGAGAGGATAGAGGAATAGCGCACAGTAATGAGAGAAATCAGAGCCATAGGCAGAAGGTCAAAAGGCAAGGGTCTAGCTGGAAAGATGTATACAACAATAGAGGGGGAAAAAAAATACAGTCAGTAGTAGGTAAAACCTGAAAAGCAGTAGCGCTAAGAAGAGACTGATTTCTCTGGTGGTAATTCCCACACATACACATTTTTTTTAAAGGGAAGACGAGGAGATTCTTTTTTGAATGTTTCAATAGTTGATTTTTACTGCAATCCTAAAAAAAGTCTGATCAGTGTAACTGATGGGGATAGGACATTTGTTTTGCTATCAGGAAAAATGTTTTTTCAAACAATGACAGACACCAATTTGATGTACCAGCCTACACTGAAACACTAAGCGTGCTCCACATCCTATAGCAGTTGTGGAAAGCCTTTGGCTTTACTGAAGCCAAAGGAAGTTTTGCTATTGGGTTTAATAGGATGAGAACACCATGCTGGGAATTTAGGGGCTGGAGGCTGGGGCTTCACTTTTCTTTTGGTGGCAGTGACTGCAGCTCCTGCAGCCCATCCCAGCTCCCAATGGATGGGCCTGGGGTTGTGCTGCAGCTAAACAAAAGGCTTCTTAAGTATGTCCTCAGTCCTCCACGTAATTATTCCCACAGGGTAGAAATCCCATTTTCACAGGGAACCATTAATTCTTTATAGCAATTTTCTCTAGTGTATGACAAACAGGCTACCATGGTAGCAGTATTAAGTTTTTACAACAAATGATAAAAAAATTAATATATAGCTTAATTTTCAGAGTATGAAATGAGAGTAACTAGGCACATTGTTTATAATTAAAACGTCCATGGCTACATCTCCTCATGCTACCAAATAACCTAATAAGTGATGTAATGTAAAATTTAGCTTTGCACTGAAAGTGGAGGAAATTGTTTAATTTAATTTGTATGTCAATATACTAACTTAGGAAAAAGCTGCTGAAACATGAAGCTGCAAATGGTGCTGCTTGTGTGGATATGACCTGTGATTGTTCAGACACCCTTTTGCCATTCAACACGCCTATACTCATGAAACATTGGAGGCTGTTTCTAGCACTCATTTCATTTGAGAATCCATAGAGGTGTAACCTTTCAAATGCTCCCTAAAAGAGCTCTAACCATTTCCACATCTGGCCTCTATCTTGCTGCAATCTATTGCTGTTATCAGGTTCACATGTTTCCTGATTTCCTGTTGTGCATGGAAAAAACACATTTCCCTCACCATTTGCTTTTATGTGTATTTCAGCTTTTATTTAAGGATAGACTCTCACAAGGTTCCCTAAGCAATTAAGATTCCTGGAGGAGAAGATGAACCTATTTTTAATTCACTTTTTCAGTAGGAACCTACAAAATAACAGTAAGAAGCAGTAATAACTTAAAGCCTACAACCTTCAGCTGTTACTCAAAGGAGCTCAACAATGGCACTCTTGTTATTGCCCAGCTGGAGACAGAGGTCACTATTCTTCATTATGCTTTGATGAATATCTAAATGGCAATAGAATCATGACAATTCCCTTTGTACCTCTTGTATTACTCAGGTTCCTTTTTTGCTCATAGGGTAACCCCTAAACCCCATATATTATTTTGCTTTCTTATTGACTTGCCGGTCCTGAAGAAAGTTGGGTTTGACATAATAAAATTTCAAAGCTTAAAAAGTGATTCTGGTCATATCACTGGTGAGATTCTTATAGTTTGGTTCAGTATGGAATAGTTCAGTATGGAATTCAGTTCAAATACTGCTGTCATCCTTTAATGAACAACACTTAAGTTTTTGGCTTACCACGTTTCCTACTAGAAGCATTGCTGGCTGGTTTAGTCACGTATTAAGTACAGTCCAGTGTGATGAACTTGCCCTGATTTCTCAAAGCATCCTTCCCTAAATAAAATGGTAAGAATTTTAGAAATTAAACAGGCTAGAAATACATACTGCTAGATGATATTCCATGGTGCATAAAAGAGAATAATAGTCTAGAATCTGTGTTTTCACCTATCAATGAAATCTTTCAGACTCTTAAGACTACCTAAAAGAGATTCAGAACTTTTAGAATGATTTCTGAAACCATGTCCTGCTGATCTAATCTTTACTCACATCTACAGACTCCCCCTAAACATGGCAAATGGTTGTCTGTATCCCTTATCCTCTCTCTGGCTTTTATATACAGAAGCTACAAAGGCAGCTACAAAAGGACTTATAACCCAGTCTCCTAGGCTTGTCTCTCACCAAGTTTTTAAATGTATTGCTAAGGGTGAAGGTGGAAGCAGCGCAGTGCCTGCTGGAGTGCAGCCTGTTGCAGCGCCCTTATGTTCAGAGCCCCAGCCAGCACTGGCTGCGGTCACAGGGTGTGTGGGAGGAAAACGGGTCACTGTCTGTCCCTCTCCTGTATCATCTCCTGAGTATTTCCCTTTACACAATACAGCACAGAGACAAGGGCTGGGCATCTGCTCTCTCTCTGTTTTTTCCAACTTAACTTTCACAACTTCATCATTAGACATCCTACACCAAGCTGTTTCTGTGGTCTTGTAATCTTGTACAACTAATGACAGAAAAGATGTACTGTTAGCCCTCAGACACCATTTCACTTTGTTTTTCCACCTCTTGCTTTAATTCTCTCTAATTAAAAGAAATAAAATACCTTTGGAAGCTGAGATATTTTTGTATTAGGGCAATAAACACAAAGTGTATAAAGGCAGGAGGCATTAATCTACATGGTTCCTGATGGAAGGTACATAAAAAATAGCTGGGCTGAAATGCACTACATTTCTTTGCACTTCCCAAAGTTCTCTGTGCAGTCATGTGGATGGATAAATGCACAAATGTTTGTGAGCAACACCTGTGAATTTATATACCTGTCTTGGGGTGAAAGGTCCTGAAAAAATGACTGTAGCACCCCAGATTGTCAGAGAAGGTGAGCTGTTCACTCAGGCAAGTTCAGAGGCAGCAGATTCAACAGGACAGACTGCGTTTAAGGTGAGCTATCCTTATACTGGGTTATTCCTCCTGCAGTTTATGGGTAGACATAAAAAGTCTTAAATCCACACCTCCAGCTACTCTGAAGCTCAATGCAGATTAGAAGGATACTAGTGATATGTGCTTGGTGTCTAGTATCTCTTTGTCCCCATGAGCACGCAGATTTTCATAGTGCAGCAGCAAATGGGAGTCTGCAAACACATGGGGACTGTACACTTTCATCCTATTTTTGTCCACTTTTTGTCACTCCTCTCAGTTGATTTTCTGCATTGCTTAGTTTTGCACGTAGGAGGAGATTGGTTTTCTGACACCACAGAGGTTTTTATGTTGAGCTGTAGGAATTTTTAATTTCACTAGGAAGACTTCAAAGCGGAAACTAAAAGCAGATGTTCAGATTTGCTGAGCAGTCAGTCCTGGCTTGAAAATCCCCATAGTATTAACAGCCTGAAGTTTCTTGTTACTGATTGTCAAGAGGAAATTTGTTTGGATTGAAGTTTTCCTGTTAATTTTTATTGCTGCATTCTGAGTTTAGACCCAGAGAAACTTACATCCTTCATGACATCCTTCAGAGGAAAGGCTCACTTAGTGCAGTGTTAATAAAGAGTTTACTTGCAAGCATCTGACAACCAAGACTACAAGTTTTATCCAGAGGAAAAGAAAACCCAAATCCTCACATTTTATTTATTTTTTATTGCCATTCATTTACTATATTCCTTAAACTACAGCCTTAGAAAATCTGAATGCTCCAGTGAGCACTCCAAGAGAGTCTGATTTTGTTCCTGGGATATTAAATAGCATGTAGTTGCATTTGCCATAAATAAAATGTGATGAATTCACAATGATAGGATTGCATTTTCCAGGAGTGAATATAAATTCAGGGAACTTTTCCCTTTTCCTGCTAGTCTACAGTTCTACTTTATTAACTGGTGTTTTTTTTCTTCTGCCATGTTTCTATGAAAAGAAACGCACACAAAGAAGTACTACTCAAGGTTGCAAGTCCAGTCTTATCTGTTGCTAAATACTACTATAAAGTTTTATTATTATGAAGTGAGGAGCAAGATAGGAACATATTTTTGCCCTGATAATGCAATCACTAGATAGTAAAAGCAGAGGGAAATAAAAATAGCTGACTTTCCCCACCATTTGCAACCCCAAAAGACTGTAGGCACTAGAGCATCAACACTGGTCTAAAATCAAAGATTGGAAGCAAAATGGGTCAGCTAGTTATTCTGACCCATTAGTGGAAATGGTCTCCATCTGTGGAAGAGACTTTGTACAGCACACTGGAACTGCTCAGCTCTCATTTCCTAGTTACTTCATATAAAAGACTCAAACTGCAGAAGGCTGTCAGTACCTTATGACATGGTTGTACTATCCTACTTACCAGTCCTCCTTCCTCACCCACACAGATTCAGGCTGTGGCCAACACTAGAGGGCTGAGTATATAATTGCATACTGACTGGTCGTGTCATAGCAGTCATGAAATCCTGAGTTGATTCAAAAGCTTCATTGTCTCAAGCCTCAAAGTCCATTGCTTTGGACTTTAAACCCCAAGGACATTCTCTTCCTCAGTAGCTCTGGTACTATGACAGGTAGGGACTTGGTTAACTCTAGTGGAATCCTTATGGTGGGATAGGATCATCTCATAAAGAAGAAATCCTCAGATGTATATTTTCTCTAGAACTTGCATATTTGTCATGCAAACCCTTCCAGACCTAGTTTTGGCACAGTGGTGTTCCTCAACTGATGCTGAGCAGCAACTGATGGTGTTGAAAAAAGCAACACCTGCAGTATGGCTCTAATTTCTCCTTTGAATTTGCTTTGTACTGTACACATACTTTGAACAAACTGATCCAAAGTAGTCCTGGCTTTAACTCTCACTTATGATTTGGCCATCAGCACAAAGAGCCATCAGTCTTTGTCAGATGATAGAAGAGTACATCTGGAAGGGACTAAAAAAGATCAGTTAGTTTGTTCTTTTGCTCTGAGGCAGATCACATCCAGCATATTAGTGACAAATTGTAGTCTAACAAGTTCTTAAAACTTCTAGTGATACAGTTCAAATAATCTAAGTGGCTTGCTGCTATGTTTTACTGTCCTATGGCAAGAATAGTACGCAAGTTTTTAATAATATGTGACTAAAATGTCTCATCATTTAATGTAAACTGATAATTTTCCCATCTTAAGAAAATGTGGAGAACAGCTGGCCAACATACTGTCTCAAAGGAGCCCTTTGTGCTGCTACTGGGTCCCACCACTGGTGGAAAATCAATCCTGCCTCCCCACATCCTGAGAAATGCATCTTCAAATGGGTTCCTATGAAAATGTCCCTCATCCAAGCATTCAAACGTAGTTTGATGATTGTAGAAAGAGAAAAATTGAATTTTAAAAGAAATAAAAGGCTTGTGTCTTGAAACTCAATATATTGACAAGGAAAGCATGATTTGAAAATCAGGGCTGCCATGTAAATGTAAAAATGACCTCTTACCAATGAATGTTTTGAAGTTTTTGCCTGGATATAGAGGATATTTGACTTCATTATACTTCATAATAGGGAAAACCCTAAATTCATATTTTTTTCTTTTGTTTTACAGATTTGACTTGATTGACTTTTACTCCACTCTTAAGTTTTCTACTCATGGCAGCCTTTGTGCTTCTGAGCAGAATCCAAAGTTGCAAGATACTACAAGGCTGGTTATCCTTTTAGTATTTTGTAGCCAAGAGGAATCATAAAACAGTAAAAATCTCAGGAAATTTTACATTTATGTTCTAGTCCACTTTGGAATTATGAGAGGATTTGGCATCCTCAGATGGGTTGTCAGTACAACAGAGCTAAATGTGGAATTTGTGCATGCATATGCAGTTCCTGTGCAGAGCTGAACTTACATATCATGGGGGAGAATTTGGCTGTATGGGTCTCTGGACATTGTAAAGGACACCATGCTGCCATTTATGAATGTTGTGATTGATGAATGATTCCTTAGATTGATATTTAATATCTTCTTCTTGGTTCTAGTTATCCCTGAAAAGTCAGTGAAGGAAATTCCAAGAATCTACGGAGCAGCTAAGGACACAATTAAGAAACTTCTTGCACATAAAAACAGTGTGAAAAAGCATGAAACAATCAAGAATGTGATCCCAGAAAAAGCTGTGACACCAGCTTCTAAGACTCACTTGCAGTTACTAGACTATGAAGGTGGCATTGATCTTGAAGGGAACTACGCTGAGGAAGAGAAAGAAACTGAAGCTACCACAGAAGAGGAGACAGAAGAATCAGATGAAGAGGAGAAAGAAGATTTTGAGAATCAGATTGACCATGAGCGAAGCCTTAGAGGAGATGTCTTTTGTAAGTTTCTTTTTTTTTTTTTTCAAATCTGGTTTCAATTTAAAAATATATATAAAGACTAACAAAATAGTCACAAAACTTTATAGCCATTTTATCAGAATTGACTTGTAGAGAATGAAGAGCAACCCATCATAGCTACTGGTGAGACTAAAGGTACTGGATCTCTGTTTTAGGGCAATCTGCCTGCAGCCAGTGTGAGCAGAGAGGGAGTGTGCTGTCCTGACAGCCGCTCTGCAGGCTGGGCTTTCAGAGCAGCTTAGGCATAGCACGTAACTGCTCCCCATTTTCTTCACAGATGCCCCAGCAAAACACGATATCATGCTGCTTCGTTATGAGTAGAAAATAATTAGCTTTGATTTATGATAGGCATTCTCATCATCCTAAGTAATGTGTATTGTTCAGAGGAAAAACATAACTTTGGTGTCCTTGTGTTTCAGATAATACAGACCATATAATAGGCACTGTTATTGTTCATGGTGTTCCCAACAGAGAAATAATAACGTGAATTACAGAGGATGTTTTATCCCTATTGTTTAAATGTGAAAGTTAATCTGAATGGACACTCTCAAATTTAAAACATTTGATAGTATTTAAGCAGATGCCTTGTTTAATTCCTGACATTAGACATTTATCAGGATGATTGACACAGGTTTCCTCGGTCTGCTTTCAAGTGTTTCCTTCCAACTGTTATCTTGTACGCCATGTAATTTCTTGCTGTCTTCTTTAAAGTTTTCAAATGCATTTTAATTGTTTTTTAGTACATCTGGCTCAGTCAAACATTCTTCAAGATAGTGGCAAAATCACGTAATATGAAAAATACACCCTGCTAGCAGTTTATTCATTATACTTTTTCTTCTCTAAAGTATATAAAAATAATAAATACTATCCCACAGTAATTTAAATTAGGCACCATATTTCAAAATAGTAAAAACGGACACAAATGGAGTTTAAGTTAACATTCAGATTGTTGCTATTTGATTTGAAAAGACACATAAGTATGATTATTTTAAAGGAAAGTAAGTCCTCTGGAAAAAAATCCATATTTTGTATTTTATCAGTGTACTAAACTCTTATACTTAAAGCACTCTCTTAGTATCATGTAGCCACCTGTGTTAATTACAGAGCCCCTTCCTTTGGTAGCATCAAGAATGATGAAATGGTTTTGGTTTTCTGGTTTATTTAGCAATACTAAAAGTGGACTGTTTCCCTTAATGGGTTCTAGGCTCTTAATTCTGAAAGGGAGCAATCTCTCAGTTAATCAGAATATTTGCTCTTAATCTTATTCTTTTCTGATAAATAGACCACTGTGTGAGCAGATAATGCTCAGACCACATCTCCATCCACAGCTATAGATAAAAGGCTCAAAAGATGTCACACACATGGTGGATGTGGTAGCAGAGGTGTGGCATATGCCTTTCAGTCCGACATAGTGATATACTGTATAAATAGGAAGCTAGTCTTCATTTTACTACCTCTTATATTCTGCTTGATTTTTTACAGTGCCAACTCTGGTTTTCTGGGGGTTTTTTATGGGCTTTGAACATCAGAGAGCAGTGCTAGAAAAACAGTGAGTACGTGTGAGAGTTCCCACATGCTGCAGTTTCAGGCAGTTTAGAATTCTACATGTTAGAATTACCAACAGTGAGTTACTTTTCCCAAATTTTGTGTATTATTTTTACATTTAGACTAACTAGACTACCTAGGCAAAACCAAGCATAGGCATTTTCCAGGGGAGAGAAAAATCAAACAGCAATAACAAGAAATAAAAATATACCACATAGCCCACAGCTAGCACACTTAAATTCACGGGTGCTTGTATTCTGCTACACATCTGTTCTTCCAGTATAGCTGCCTCAGGAGAGCTCAGTGTGATCCCACAGATGATTTATAAGAAATACAGTCCCACTAAGAGGGGAAAAAAAAAAGAAATTAAAGCTTTAAGGTTAGCATATGCATTACTGCACAGAAATAGAAAAGTACTTCCAACCTATAAACCAAGCCATATTTTTTCAGACAAAAATGTCATTTCCAAATGCACTATAAGTAATTTTATATACAGCAGTTGGCAAAGCAGAGAGGTGAAACCAAGTGCACATAAAGGAAAGTCTGTCAATGTTTTCAGTAAGCTCCTTTAGCACCAGAGTCACTTACCAGTTGCTTACCAGTGCTTTTGTACCTTTTCTGATGGCTGCCCATAAAATAGTCCTCCACAGACCTATTCTGCTGAGCTTCTGGTTGTTGGATTTGGGGTTTCGGCTTTTTTT